CTTATTATTTAAATGAATTAAAAAGAAAGATTTATAAAACTCATAAAATTTTCTATTTAAAAGACAGTTTCAAAAATTTGTCAAATTTTTCCATACGTGTTTATCTGCTTATTATTTTACACATCGGATATAAAATTCCGCGCGATAAAAATTTTTTGAAATATTAATTGTATTTGATGAGCATTATTATAAATGAATTTTATATTTGTATGTTACAAGCAACTAGCTTCGATAATAACAGCTCCGCTGTTGAGCACGCGACTAAAATATATACATGATTAGGTGAGATGATGATTAGAGATAGATTCTTAAAATCTCGAATAATTTTAGTTAATCAGAAAATAGGATTGTTAAGGCTATTAAGAAAAATCATTAGAATCCTTTTATTAATATTAGAATTGTTAGGGCTCTTAAGATCATTAGAATTTTGTAATAGTAAGATTGTTAGAGCTATTAAAAATATTCGAATTCTTTAATAGTAGGATTGTTAGGGGGCTATTAAAAAAGATTCGTTCTTTCTTTTAATATTCCAATAATTCTAGGAATAAATTAAAATTATTTTAATTAAGTTGAATTTATTTTTAAAAACGTTGTGAAAATAAATATAACATATTTTAAAAATAAAAATGTTTTAAAGTGTTTAAAAGTGAAATTTAAATTATCAAAATTATCTTCAGAAATATTAAAGAAATTGCATAATTATTAAGAAATCTTAACATGTTGTGTTTTATTTTAAAACTTAAAAATATATGTGCATTAAATCAAATATAATATTTAATCCAAATGTTAATGCTATCAATATCAAATTATTATATCGATTATCTCTTATTAAATATTTGAATAAATGGAATATTATTATTTGATATTGGTAGGATCATAAATTTGTAAATTGTAAATTGTAAATTATAAATAGTTATAATTGTATTTTATAATCTAACATTGATATTTTAATTGTAAAATACAATACAGACTAAAATACAATACAACTGATGCGTCCGTTTCTCTCAAATTCAAATCCAGTTAAATAACGTTTTTTGTTAATGTGACATGTGCAGTTTTTGCAAGATTATCATCTATGCCTGTCTCCTGATTATTATTGCATCGATAAAATTGATCACACTTTATTTCGTTGTGCTTGTTATATTATTCAAACCGTAAATTAATTGTTTAATTTATTTATAAATCTTTCCAGTATATACTTGATAAGGACCACAACCATATGGTCGAAACGTCGTATTAATAAACAAATTTCTGGCTAGTTTGGTCGACTACATTTTTTTCAATCCTTGAAAATATAATGATTTTCGACCCTTGAAAATATAATGATTACATAATAGTAATTAACATAACAGTAATTCATTAAATTAAAGTATTTGTAGTATCTGTAGTATATATTTTTAGAATATTCATAAAAGAATAATGGTTCGTATTTTCATGTCAAAGAGTCATTAATGAATTCGGAAAATTTTTATATAAAATGTAAAAGTTTGATGCTAAATTAATGATTAAATATAAATATTATAAAATTTGATGGACACTTTCGTTACAAAATCGCGAGTCGGTTATTATAAATTTAATAATATGCTTTCCGTTAGCTTTATTTATTTATGAATTCGATATCGCGCGAATCTGAATATTCTTAAAATAAATTATTAAATTATGATTGCAAAAATACCATGTTCTTCCCGCGTTCTTTTCGCGTCCTTATACAAGATTATCATTTTAACAGAAGAATTTTATCGTTGTCCTTCTCGTAAGATAATATTCCTAAATATTGCTAATTAAATATAAAGAAATGTCAAATAAGAGAGTAAAGATTGCAAGATTGTGATTAATCAACGATTAAATATTAGCTTTATAAAATTAAACGATCACTTTTGATATTAAGGAATCGCGAGTTAATTATTATGAATTTAATAATTTATTTTTCCATTTATATTTATTATATTTATATTTACGAATTTTTTTTTCGTATCGGAAAATATTCATAAATAAATTAATAAATTACCGTTGCGAAAACACCGTATTTTCCTCGCGTTTTTTGTGCGTTCCTAGACAAGATTGCCGTTTTAGTAAAAGAGTTATCATTGTTCCTTCCGTTAAACGTTAACGAAAGTTGCGTGGCTCGCCGAGAAGTCGAAATGATTTTCATCATGGAGAATTATTTCTCACTGGTTCTTGTGAAATCTATTCGCAACGTCTAGTTCGGTGTCCTGTTGAAAAATTGGGAATTTTTATTGTAAGATTGAAGGAACTAATACCAGGTTTTCCTGGCAATTTCCAAAAGTAATGATTTCGGTAGTAATTCAACGGCAATACTCTTCTTTAATGTCGAATTAATTTAAATAATATATATTTAGATGAAAGAAATGTATCTTTTCTTTTCTTTGTAAAAAATGTTCTATCATTATTAGGATTGGTATTATTATTGTCTAATGCCAGAAAGATTTATTGGTAGATTAAATATGGATATAGTGTTGTATATAAATTTCTATTCTTCAAGTAACTGCATATTGTAATTAGATTTTATTAACTTTTTTGAGAAAAATGATTACGAACGAATATATTTTATTAATTAATATAATTTATCTTTTTTTGATAGATTATTTCTAAATACTGGAAATATTAATGTTTTTAGTCTTTAGTTTCTTTTAAGAAGACTATTTACAGGTATTGGACATCCATCGCCAATTTAGAACATTAATTTTTAAAAATATGCCATTTTTATATATTGTTAAGGAAAAACTATGTGTTAAGGAAAAAAGTAGCGAACTCAGAGGTACATATATCTATTAGAGGATTATAATAACTATGTATTAAGAACACAAAGGCTAAGAAAAACAAGTAAGTTAACTGATAATGAACACAGTAAAAGCAAACGATACAAGAGGGTAAAAGCTACGAAAAGTATATATGCAAGCGACAATGCGGGACACAGCGGAAACAAAAATTAATTAGACAAAATACAGATGTCGTTAATAATAAAAGTACAACGTCATTAAACACGCTTTTTCTAACACTCCCTCTTATTCATGATGTCGTTCCTAAGATTTCCAAATATCTTGAAATTTTTGTCCATGTTAGACTTTTAGTAAGTAAGTCAGCCACTTGTTCATTTGATGAGACGTAAACAACATTTACATTTCCTGCTTCTTGTTCTTGTCTAATACGATGATAGCAAACTCCAATATGTTTGGTTCTTCTGTGAAACTCTAGATTTTTTTGACATCGCTATTGCTGCCTGATTGTCAACTCTCAATTCAGTCTTCTCCGTTTGTTTCAGTCCGAGGGATTCCAGTAATGGCCGCAACTATAGAAATTCTTTTAATGCTTCCGAAATTGATATATACTCCGCTTCCGATGATGAAAGAGCTGTGACTCGTTGTAGACTCGATGACCAGGCTATCGGTCCACCATATAGCATAAATATATATCCAGATGTTGATTTTCTTTCCATCAGATCGCCAGCATAGTCGGAATCACAATATCCAACTAATCCATCTTCCGTTTTTCCATTGTAACATAATGAAAAACCAATCGTACCTTTGAGATACTTCATGACATGTTTAACTGTTCTCCAATGTAATTCAGACGGATTATTTGAAAATCGAGCAAGCATGTTCACAGCATATGATATGTCTGGTCTTATTATCAATGCAATATAATTCAGGCTACCCACTGCTTCTCGATAAGGAAATCTCTTTTCAATAATACTTTCTTCATTTTTCAGTTCCGGCAATTTGACAGAACAATCCACTGGTGACGACATTGTTTTACAATTTTCCATTCTAAAACGATGCAACATACGAGATATATATCCTTGCTGATTAATGTAAATTGTCTTCATTTGTCGATTGCGATTGATTTCCATGCCAACATAACATGATGGCTCATGACAAGTAATTTCAAACTTTTCTTTTAATGAGGAGATGAAATCCTTCAGCAAATTCTTGTTTTTGCACGCTATAAGTCCATCATCAACGTATAAACATAGAATCATTCAATCATTCATATTGGCATTTTTTGTAAAAATACATGGATCTGAATCTGATTGTATCAGGCCATGCTCCATTACAAATTCATTGAAAAGAATGTTCCAATTCCTAGATGCCTGTTTGAGTCCATATAGTCCCTTCTGCAAATGACAAACACGATGAGTTCCATCTTCATATCCTTGTGGTTATTGCATGTATATGTCCTCTTCAAGTGGTCCATTAAGAAAAGCTGTTTTTATGTCAAATTGTATCATTTCCATATCATACTTAGCGGCTATTGCCAAAACAGTTCTTACTGATTCGTAACGAACTGCAGGTGAGAAAGTGTCAAAATAATCTACTCCTTTAGTTTGATTAAATCCTCGGGCGACTAGTCTTGCTTTATAACGTTCTATCGCTCCGTATTTAATTTCGACTTAAAAACTCAGCGACAGGAGACTGTAGATCAGTCTTTGGGCAATTTTTTTAAAGTCCATGCTTGATTCTTTATTAATGATGATATTTCTTCATCCATTGCCTTTCTCCATAAATCAGCATCTTCTCTGGAAATCGCATCTTCATAAGAAACTGGATCCATCGATACTTTCATTGCAGCAATACATGCTGCCTTGTTTGTTTTACTTCTTAATTCTCTATCTGTGGCAGGAAGTGGTTTCTCAAAATTCTTTGAGCCAACTGGTCGTCCTCTCTTCTTCTTTCCTAAGGACGACTCTTCATTTGTATCATCTTCTATTTCCTGTATAAGACAATCATCTGAGTCCGCTTTATCCTCATTGTTTTCTGAATACGATAACTCAGCAGAAGATTCCTCAAAATCCTCTTCTAGTTCATTAGACGGCAGAGGAAATAATACTTGACTATTTGCATCCGTAATATCTTGTATTCTAACATCAGAGACTCTTTCGACGACCTTCTTTACAGGATCAAAAACACGATAAATTTTATCAGTCAAACGATCATATCCTACAAATATTACCTTCCTAGTCTTAGGATCCATTTTTCTTCTCATTGTGAATCTGGAATACGTACGAAAGCCTTTGCACCAAAAACTCGAAGATGAGAAACATCAGGCTTCTTTCCATACCATTCGTAGTATGGAGTCGTATTCGTGAATCCTCGATTTGGCACTCGATTACGAAGATATGCTGCTGTCCCAACAGCTTCTGTCCAGAGTAAGTGATGATCCATTTTAGACAAATCTGTATCAAACAACAAAGATCTAGTAGTATCACACAATGTTCGATTTTCTCGTATCATCGATCTTCTGCCATATCATTACATTGTTTGACATTAGGCGGTGATAACTCGTGAATAATGCCCATAGACTTAAGAACTTCTTTTACATTTTGATTAATATATTCAGTTCCATTATCCGTTCTCAAAGAAATTGCTTTTCTTCTTGTTTCTCTTTCTGCATCTATGAAGAATTGTTTTAGTATGTCAGATACTTCATCTTTTGTTTTCATGAAAAACACTCTACGATAAGCAGATGCTTCGTCTTTTAATATCAGGAAGTATTTGCATTTATTCCACGATGTTATTCCAATATGACAGACATCCGAATGAAAACGCTGACCAGGCAGACAATCTCGCCTTCTTCGAATTGGATGTGGATTGACTGTTTGTTTTCCAAAATGGCATGAATCGCAATCATTTCTTTCTGTGAAAATTACTTCAAATCCATTTGTAAGATTATTTTTCGACATTGCTCGTATCACATTGTTACTTACGTGACCAAGCCGTTGATGCCATAGTCCAAACGATTGCGCTACTTTTGCAGAAATCAATGGTGGTTTCACTCGAATAAAAAGAACATACTGATTTCCAATTCTTTTTCCACTTAATATTATTTTTTGTTCATTCATCAAACGCATGATGCTCTCTCCATGGTAGAAGCTGTATCTTTTTGTCTTTTCCATAAAAATTGTCGAAATCAGCGATTCACTGTTCATCTTCTCTGAATAGTATACATTTTCCCATGTTCTTCTTTCCCATGTCTTTCCATTGATTGATTTTTCAATTTCAATGTTACCAACATGAGTTGCCAGAAGAGTTTGACCGCTAGCAGCATTTAGCACTAACGGTGAAGCAAGTTTACGTAGCGACGAAAACCATTCCATATTTCTTGTTAAATGAACGCTTGCTCCCGAATCTGCAACGATTCGATTACTATCATTCTCGTTAAAAACAGATGATGCTGATAAGCTGCTCTCGTCTTTATGATTTTTCGACGCTTTCTTATTTTCTGTAGATTCTGATTTTTCCGACTTTTCTAATTTTGACCAGCAATCTTGCTGCATGTTTTTTACCACATTTATGACACTTTCCCTGGAACTTCTTGTTGACTGCTTTCTTATCTTGACTGTTCGTTGACTTAGATTGAGCCTTGAAAGCTTCATGGGATATATCGTCCAGACGTTCTGTAATATTTCTTTCTGCATTTGTGAGCTTTTCTAAGAAAGACTCTAGTGATACGTCTTCTGAAAGAAGTGACCAGCTTGTAACAAAATTATTAAAATCTTTCGGTAGACATCCAAGAATTTTTGCCATCATGAGTTTTTCATTGAAACTTTTACCAAAATCTTCTGACTCTAGCGCTTCAATTCGACGTACTATGACTTTAAGACCTGCTACAAAAGAACCAACCGTATTATCTGATTTCCCTGAGTAACCAAAAAACTCACGTAAGTAAAACAGTTCTAGTAAAACATTTAACGTTTTTGGTTCAAAAACAGCTTTAATTCTCTTCATGATGTCTGCCGATGATTCACAATCACATACTTGATCGAACGTCGTATCATCTAACGTTGATCAAATGATCGAGCGAGCCTTACTGTCCTTTACTTTCCAATCTTCAATGTCTTTTTTATTTACAAGACCACTATATCATTACTTACTTCTTCCGGTTTAATTATAATACCACTAGCGACTTCCCATATTCGATGACTTTCCAGAGCGTCTCGAATTTCAATCTTCCAGCGGTTATACGTTGCCTTTGAAAGCTTCGTTACTTGAATATCTCGGATTAAATTTTCATCAGCCATTGTTCTCTTTATAATCGTTACTAGCGAATCGATTTCACTTAATAACCTTCCAATAATTATGTCTTTGCAAATTTTCGACACGTTTTATTATAACCTCAAAACACAAATATGTCGACTAGCACAATTCTTAAGTCTCATAATCTGTTAAGGAAAAACTATGTGTTAAGGAAAAAAGTAGCAAACTCAAAGGTACATATATCTATTAGAGGATTATAATAACTATGTATTAAGAACACAAAAGCTAAGAAAAACAAGTAAGTTAACTGATAATGAACACAGTAAAAGCAATCGATACAAGAGGGTAAAAGCTACGAAAAGTATATATGCAAGCGACAATGCAGGACATAGCGGAAAAAAAATTAATTAGACAAAATACAGATGTCGTTAATAATAAAAGCACAACGTCATTGAACACGCTTTTTCTAACATATATGTATGCATAATATAAAATATATGCAGAAATTAACGTATCCAAAATATTTTTATAATTTTTATTAATATTATATGTATATTATATATTCGCGAAATGATATATGAATGTTACATAAAATGTGCGAATACTTAAAAATTTCGAGACAAATCGAATGGGTATCAATAAGATTGTATCAATAAGATATTGATTGAAAGAAAAAGAATTATTAATTTAAACGTTATAAGAATAAGAATCTAGAGAATTATTCTAGAATTAAAATTATTTAAAATTATTTGATTTATTTTTTGAAAACTACTCCAACTGAAATTTTAAATCTTGCTGTTATTGGGTTCGATTCATCTCGCGCGCGTGAAAAGGTACCCGAAAATTATTATATGTGTTCGCACATTCAACACAAACTCTAATGATGCAAGGATTTTAATATTTATAATATTATTTATAAATCGTACGTAATCATGAAATAAAGAATTATATTTCTTAATCATGAAAGAACATGTTTTCTGACGTGAATATCAATTTCGTGAATTGAAAATAATGACGAGGGATAATTGTTGTTGATTTATTATTGAAATCATTACTATTGAGAATAATGCGGAAGATCCGGGATTCGTTTCCTCCTACAGTAAAGTTCCTGACGTTCAATGGATCACTTAATTTTTCTTCATAAATTGATTCTGCGAAATCTGATATAGAAATAAAATGTTAATCTTTCTCCATTTTTAAAATCGATCTTCTTTTTATTACCGATTTGTCACCTGCATATCTGATGGCTTCGATTATTATATTATAAAAATTATACGCAATATGAATATTTTGAATATTATCGATTTATTTATTCGTCGCGTTTTCTCGTAAATTTTAAATCGCGATTTCTTTTGTAATTTAATTGTCGATTTACATCGAAGCTCATTTTATTTTTTCGCGATTTGAATATTTTCTTTGATAATCTATACAAAAGGCGCCAATAATGCAAATACTTTCTTCTACAATCGAAGAAATGATCAATAATTTTATTAATGACTCTTTTGATCACAATTATTTACGTTACATAAAATTAAAGTCTATTATTACTATATATATATATATATATATATATATATATATATAGTAATAATAGACTTTAATTTTATGTAACGTAAATAATTGTGATCAAAAGAGTCATTAATAAAATTATTATATATATATATATAAAATTAAAGTCTATTATTGCATACGTTATATAAAACTTATTATATTCTAACAAATTAATAAATAGATAAAGAATTAGGCTGTTATTATATTCTATTATTCTATTATTCTACTTATTATATTCTATTATTGCATATCGATTATTAATGATAAATGTCGCGTAATTAATCATCGCTTATCAAGCTTGTCTAAACTATATAAAAATTTTTACTAAATTTCGTATTATATGTATATTTTGGACATTTTCGCGTAATAAATTATATGTTAATTAATATATTATATTAATTACATTAATATTTTTGAATAAAATAAAAGAAAAAGAGATAGTAATCGAGAAAACAGATAAAAGGCAATTGCAGTGATTTGAATATATCTTAAACATGAGAGATTTAAATATTCCGAAGAACTCCACAGAAAGGAATAAACATGACAAGTGATGATAATCTTTATGTTAAAACAAAGGAATACAATAAACCATAATAACAATTCAAGAACTCGAAGAAAATATATTGGATAGAAATGCGATTGGAAATGATTAGAAACTAAAAGACTGTTTGCATACAACCTATTAAAAATAATAATATTAATAATAATACTATTTTGTAATTATATAAAATTTTATAATTTAATTAAAGCACATTAAGCTTAAAAATATTATACTAATATCGAAATTAATATAAAAATATATAAATAATGGCTATAATAGAATGGTAACATATAAGTTCTTTATATTTTATATAAAAGAAGAGACATTTACAATATTTTGCAACATCTATATATTTTTCCTACATTAAGATTTATCGAATCGTTCGGAAAAGAAAAGAAACATTAATTTAATTATATCGGATAAAGAATATCGACTGGACTCAGTAAGGTATCTTCTATGTTCTTTCTTAATGCTATAATATTTTTCAGAAAAAATTCGAAATTTGGTCTAGCATCCGCTGCACTCCAGCAACGTAGCATCAACTGGTACAATGCGGACGGACAGTTAAGAGGCATCGGCAACCTGTTCCCAGCAAGTACATAATTTATCACTTCCGCATAAGTCTTGGCAACATAAGGTTGTTCACCCAACGATGTAATTTCCCACATTAAAACACCAAATGACCAAACATCTCTTCGAGAAGTAAATATTCCGATCATCAAAGATTCGGGTGCCATCCAGCGAATAGGAAGCAAATCTTCTCCTCTCTAAAACATGATTTTAACAAAAATTAAGACATTAAAACAAAAATTTTCTATGTTCTAATTTAATTTTCTGGTTCAAGTTATTCATTTTTACAATATGTGCAAAAAGAAAAACGTTATCTCTTGCTATATATAAATAAAAACTATTCATATTCCATATTACTTGAAGAAACAATGCACGATACTATTATGATAAAAAAATGGAAAGTATTTTCAAAAGAATTCATTTTTTAATTTTTTTTAATAATTGTATTTACCATGCGATAATAATCATCATTGTAGATATTTCTAGCTAATCCAAAATCTCCAATTTTGATAATACGATTATCGCGATTTCTCGAAGATACTAAACAATTGCGACACGCTAGATCTCTATGTACGAAACGCAATTCTTCCAAGTAGCAACAACCTCGCGTAACATCTTCGCACATGGCGAACAAATCTTGCAAACGCAGAGCGTGCGAATCTGACGCTTCCAAATTTCGACAATCTCTCAAATATCTTGACAGATCACCAGTTTTCATTAATTCCAACACTAGAAACGGAGAAATCCCATTTAAACAAACGCCCAACAATCTTAATATATGTTTGTGTCGAAAACGATTCATAAGCTCGGCTTCCTTTAACAATTTCTTTTTCTCATGGAAAGGAGGATCTTTCCGAAGCGTTTTTATTGCAACGGATATCTCTGTGCCCGAACTTTCTAAGTTTTTCACATTTCCTTGATACACCTGCGAAATATTTCACACAAATTTACATGCGTACTTTATTAGAAAATGTATAGTTTAATGTCAAGTAATATTATATTTCACTTTATATTAAATAATTTAACGAAAAATATATAGTAAAGTGAATGTTTGTTGTCTCATCCAAATTTTATATTACTTATAATCTATTATAAAAATTTATATAATTTGTATCTTTATTAGAAAATACATATCTGTTTTGTTGATTCAGAAATTAATTTGAAACATTGCTTGAAAACATAAATTTTTACCATTCCGAATGTGCCGCTACCAATAATTTTTCCAAATATAATCTGTTTACGTGCAATTTTAGTTATTGCACATTCATCCGGATTATAATGTATCATAGGACTGTAAATCGTATTCAATTGAGTGTATTCGCAACATATTTCATGTGGAATCTCCAATTCTATATCGGTCATTGTAATCAAATCATTATTACTTTTGCGTTGACGATATATTGCTATAAAATTTCGACTTAATTATGTAACAATATAAAATTTTTCGTTTTTCAGTAAATTTATTCGTTTACTTTTATATAACTAAATTACTATTTTTAGTAAATTTTTAGATATTATATTAGATATATACGTATAATCAACAATTCAAGTTGATACCAACATCAAATGTACAATACTTACAATAATAAAAGTAGCAGAGGCAGATTATAGTAACTATAACGATAAAACTTAATATCATTAATAAGTAATATTTTTCCGCTATTATTCCAGTAGTGTCCGAAATATCTGTATTAAGCAAAAATATAATTTTAATATCTTTGTGTGTGTATGTTTTTAAAAATTTATTTTTACTTGTAACTTTATTACAAAAATTTAATTTTTTTAAATTTTAGGCCTATTCACATCTAAAAATATTAGTATATCATATTATAATATCTATGCAGCTCAGAATGTTAGTACTTTGCAACAATATTGCAATATCACAAATTGAAATGCAACATTACACAAACATTGTAGAAATATAAATTAACAAAATATGAATTGGGTATTAGCAATGTAATATTGATATTTTGGAACCATTGGGGAAACTATAACACCCTTTAATTTATCTATAAAAATAATGTAATAATATATATTTTTAGATTTATATATATGGGATGAATTTTACTTTTTTTCAGAAGTCAAACGAATTAATGACACAGAAATAATATCAGTAAATATCGAGTAAATACAATTCTAAGCTAATGATAAGCATTTCTATTCTTTTATTAAAATATAGATAACATTTTATAACAATGTTAAAATATATTTTATCATATATTTTTACTTTATCTACGAATACGATATCTTTTTATTATATAAGAATAGATATTTTTAATAGATATCTATTATTTTATTTTTCAATTTATTTTTATGTTTTTCTCATACAAATAAATATAAATATAACGGATTTTTAAAATTTTTAAATAAAAATATAATTAGTAATGTTTAATTAATTTTATAACTAATGTTTATATGTGTATAAACAGTAATTAATCATTAGAGAAAGATATATATATAAAGTATGTATTATAAGAGTATACAGGGTGACCCATTTTAACTTAGGCAGCCAAATAACTCGAAAAATAAGCACACTACGAAAAAATGGTTAGAATCAAAATTTCGTCATTTCGAGGGGGACGTACAATGACGTTAAAATCAGCCCCCCCACCCCTCCCCCTGGGCGGTGAGGGGGAGCAAGTTTGAAATCTTAAATGGAACCCCCTATTTTTCATTGCATATTCTTGTAGCTTATCTCGAGAGCTTTCCAAAACACTATAATTAAGTACCTTTTTATTAAGTACTTTTTGAGTTATAAAGCTTGAAATAATTTTTTAATTTTACATAAACCATAAAATATCTAGTAAACCATTCATTTTTCGATTATCTTACCTTCATACTTTTATGTACAAAATAATGAGAGGAATCAATTGGTGTAAAGAAAACATATAGTTGTTTTTAAGAAAAAATATAGAATTGTTAATTGCAAATTACATATTTTTTCTTAGAAACAACTATGTGTTTTCTTTACACCAATTGATTCCTCTCATTATTTTGTACATAAAAGTATGAAGGTAAGATAATCGAAAAATGAATGGTTTACTAGATATTTTATGGTTTATGTAAAATTAAAAAATTATTTCAAGCTTTATAACTCAAAAAGTACTTAATAAAAAGGTACTTAATTATAGTGTTTTGGAAAGCTCTCGAGATAAGCTACAAGAATATGCAATGAAAAATAGGGGGTTCCATTTAAGATTTCAAACTTGCCCCCCCTCACCGCCCAGGGGGAGGGGTGGGGGGGCTGATTTTAACGTCATTGTACGTCCCCCTCGAAATGACGAAATTTTGATTGTAACCATTTTTTCGTAGTGTGCTTATTTTTCGAGTTATTTGGCTGCCTAAGTTAAAATGGGTCACCCTGTATAGAACATTTGAAATAAAAAAAATGATTCGTAAGTAAGAGTTTAAAGTAATTTTGTATAAAAACATATTTTATATGATTACGTTTAAATATAATTTTACAATATATTATCTTAGATATTGTAAACTTCTATTTATATCGAGTTTTTTAATTTAATTATATGTTTTCAAGATATTTATCCATCAAAAACAAAAATATTTTATACATAATATTATTAAATGATTGTAATAACATTGCATTCTTTTCAATATATTAAAACATAATATAACTACAATGTTTCATTGCAAAAAGCGGATATCTTAACTTTATCACATTCTTATAACAATGACTCAACAAAGTTTCGCAATCAATTTGCAATGTTTCAATGAAATTATTTTTCAATATATCTGCAATCTTATTGTGCTGTATGGGTATTTTCATTTGCTTACCACGTTTGCTACCACGTGTTGAAAAAATAAATCTTTCATCAGTCGGCCATGTAAAAGTTTCGTCATATTCGGGATATCTCAATATCAAGCGAAATTTGTATTCAGTTTCTGACTGTAAATTTTCGATATGGTAAGTTGCTTCTTCGTTATAATTCGTTCTAGTATCATTCGTTGTTTTCGTTGTTTGCCATTCGTTGTTTTCTGTTGCAACCTCTTTGTACTTTAGTGTAAGAAGGACCGTAAGATTGATGTTTGAGATCCATGAAATGTTTATGCTATTTATGTTGACCCCGCTCAAAGTAATATTATTTGGTTCTGAGTATATGTGATCTATCTTGCTCTCGTTGTAGAAATCGCTGAATTTACTTGGATACATACGCACGTATATCAAGTCATCTTGTACTGGTAGCGACAAGTTAATCTTTGTGAAAAATCTGCCATCTGCCACACGTTTCGGCACATTGATAAATTGTTTCTGCTGTTGCGTGTCGTTCACTGACTTCCAATGCACTTCGTAAGTCACAACCACGCAGTTCAATTTCTTGGGTGGCATCCAATAAACTACTGCTATAGTAGGCGTCAAAGCTAAAACACTTATGTTTTCTGGTACATTAAGCTTGCCCAAATTAGTTTTTATTGATATCACGTTCGAATTGAATGGATTTATTGATAATTGATCAAAGTAAAAATTGCTTATAGTAAACTTCAACTTGTACTCTGTAAATGGTGTTAAATTCTGAATCTTGTAATATCGCTCATCTGTCAGCACATTGAATTCTTCAGACTTGTTGAGGTTATTGTCTAAACAATAGCTTACAAAGATAGTATATATAGTAGTTGGTAAATTATATTTTTTGCATCCACTCTTTACAACCGGCTCCGGTAAATTTACAATGATGCTGTTTGCCGTTGCAGTCACATTCTCAAAATTATAAACTTTTTCGTCAGGTGTCAGACATCTCATTGAAGGATAGGGTTGTGAAGATTTATCAAAAGCGTAAATTTTATAAAATACATTTTGATCTGAGCTTATTGGTATCTTTTTAACATATTTGTATGCATTTGGGACGCTCTTGAGACTTGCATATTTCTTTTTCAAAACGTAGAGAGTATAAACAGACTTACATTGAGAATTATATAAAGCTAAAATGTAAATGTTTGTTTTGTCAATCGTCATAGATTGGAATTTGATGTCATCACTTATGTCTTCTTTGTGTAAAATCTGATTGAACTTAGAAATATTAATGTCTGTTATAATTATACTCCAATCATTTAACCAGTAAATTAACTCTTCATTATTCATATTATCAATTATCATATTACTAAAAGGCTTTATATAATAAATTGGGTGAATGAAAGTATTTATCTCAACAATTTGCTCGTTTTTTCCATCGAAATCATATTTTATCATATCATATTTTTTAGTTGCCCAATTGTATGATGTGTAATATAAAATTCTAAAAAATATATAATTATTTTACTCATTATAAAACATTATTTTAACAAAAACAAAAACTTATATATAGTAAAAATTCGAAATTCTCATAATTATATAATAACTTATTATGTCTTTTTACTTATGATCTTAATTATAAAACTACGTAAAATACGTAAAATACGTATTATAAAAAAATTACAAATTTGCATAAATCTTTAATGAAAAATTGTTTTTTTTCAGGTGAACGGTAGACGTACCCCATAGACGATAATACATTTAAATAGTCATTAACAATGTTTTTTTTCAAAATATTATCAAATTTAATTATGCCATTTTCCCACATTGTTAAGTCGAACTTTACAATGTAAGAGTAGTCTGACTCTTGATAGGTCAAATATAGATTTCTTGCTACCCAGTCAATGCAGAGATCATGTAGATCATGATCAAAGCTAGCTATTTTTGTGATATTTTTTTCATTAATTTTCAATGTCATTAGGTCTCTTCGGGTTATCCAATAAATTCTATATTCTTGTATCGAATAAGCGACATCTTTTAATTCTGATCTAAAAAAGGAGCCAACTATAATAGTATATTTAAAAAATTGAGATTTCTAATTTTATAATTATTACTACTATAATGTTGATAATAAACTTGTGCTATAATGTTAATAATAAACTTGTGCGTAGTAATAATAACTTTAACTTTATAGTGTCAAAAATAATTTCATAATTTTAACTATTTTTTTTATCAGTATACGTACTGTGGCGACATTCCAAAATTAGTAAAGATGTTTAAATCCACGTCCCATATTTGGATATCTTGATTCGTTGTGAGTATAATTAGTTATTGGATTTTCATGTGTAGTCGACACATTGATTAAGTCCGTGTAAGGTCCAGCAACAATTTTAGTATACGCACGTACTCAGAAATAATATGTCGTATTAGGTTTAAGATTGTGCACCGTGTGCTCCAATGTTGTAATTGTGATATTTTTATCGTCGCAGATTTGAATCTCTTTTAAGTCGATAAAACAACATTGCACCGTGTATCCTTGTATTACTTTATCGGTAAATTCAGATTGGTTCCATCTGTAAAACAAATAAAATTTTAGTCATTATATATTTAACAAAATTATAACAGAATTAATTTTGATATATTGCTGAATTTAAGAAAAAGAGAGAAAAATAAAAGAATACAAACTGAGAATTTAGATTCCTTACCTCAATGTTACAAAAATGTCGTTTACTCTGTGAATTGACTCTCGAATTGTACAAATGCTCTGAGAGATGTTGGCTTGTTCAAACTGCTGTCTAGAGATTTTAAGATCGTACATATTAACATAAGTATATATAAGATTAAGTGGATTATTTCAGTAAATCACAGAAAGAACAATTTAATGTGAAAATAAAGGAAAGAGAAAAAATACATGTGAACTATAAAATATGGAAATTAGGACAGCATTGACCTTTAAAAAGTAATATCAAAATTTTTTGCGTCATTTAAAATTTAGAAATGTAATCGTTAATTCACGGTAAAAACAAATAAATAACTTTTAATAAAATAACAAGTACTTTTCGAGAAATTCCTATTGCTTAGGAAATCAGAAGTATAATACAATATTTGCGATTGCTTTAAAACAAAGTAGAAAATTAATAATATATATATATACACACACACACACACACATATATATATACATATATGTAATAATATATTTTCTTATATCTATCTATTTTTTTTTTTATTGTATATATGCGATGAATTTTATTTTTTTGCACAAAGTTAAATGAATTAATGGCACAGAAATAATCAGTCGAGGTAAAAAAATATAATTCTAAGCTAAAGATAAAAATTGCCATTTTTTTTTCTATTAAAGAATATAAATAACATTTTATATTATCGTTACATATATTTTATGATATATTTTCAATACACTCATACAAATATGGTTTTAATAGATTTTCAAAGATATATTTTTAATATATTTGTTTAATTATATTAAGAGAATAGGTAATATTTTATCAAACATTATAATTTTTTATTTTTACTTTTCGATGCATTTTTATGCATATTTCATATGCAAATATATGTAATTGTATTTTTGAAATTTTTTAAATAAAATTATAATTAGTTATAAATGTATAATGAATTCCAATTAATGTTTATATATTTGTACCCCATTATAACAATATATGAAACATTTAAAGTAAAAAAAGTGATTCGTATAAGTAAAAGTTTAAAGTAATTTTATATCCAAAATATAATATTTTATATTTTAGTTATATGATTATGTTTAAATATAATATTACAATATATATATATATATATATATATATATATATATATATAATTTATAAATTATAATATATTATATTAGATATGAAATCATTAGAAACTTCTATTCATATTAAGTTTTTGAATTTAATTATACATATATGCATGCGAGATATTATCTGTCAGAAACAAGAATATTCTATATGTAATATTATTAAATGGTTGCAATAACATTGCATTCTTTCAAATATATTCTACTGCAATGTTGCTATAATATATAGTTTATTGCAATATTGCAATGTTTCAATAAAATTATTCTTCAATATATCTATGCCATCTTATTGTGCTGTATGAGTATTTTCAGTTACTTACTGCTAAGTGTTGAAAAAATAAATCTTTCATCAGCCGGCCATATAAAAATTTCCTCATATTCGAAATACATCAATATCAAGCGAAACTTGTATAAAGTTCCCGATTGTAAATTTCCAATATGATAAGTTGCTTCTTTGTTATAATTCATTTTTTTTTATCATAATTTGTTGTTTGCCACTTTTCTGTTGCAACCTCTTTGTACTCTAATGTAAGAAAGACCGTAGGATTGACGTTTGAGATCCATGAAATGTCCATGCTATTTGTGTTGACTTCGCTCAAAGTAATATTGTTTGGTTCTGAGTATATGTGATCGATCTTGCTCTCGTTGTAGAAATCGCTGAAATTACTTGGATACACACGCACGTATATCAAGTCATCTTGTACTGGTAGCGACAAGTTAATCTTTGTGAAAAATCTGCCATCTGCCACACGTTTCGGCACATTGATAAATTATTTCTGCTGTTGCGTGTCGTTCACTGACTTCCAATGCACTTCGTAAGTCACAACCACGCAGTTCAATTTCTTGGGTGGCATCCAATAAACTACTACTATAGTAGGCGTCAAAGCTAAAACATTTATGTTTTCTGGTACATTAAGCTTGCCCAAATTAGTTTTTATTGGTATCACGTTCGAATTGAATGGATTTATTGATAATTGATCAAAGTAAAAATTGTTTATAGTAAACTTCAACTTGTACTCTGTAAATGGTGTTAAATTCTGAATCTCGTAATATCGCTCGGCTGTCAGCACATTGAATTCTTCAGACTTATTGAGATTATTGTCTAAACAATAGCTTACAAAGATAGTATATATAGTAGTTGGTAAATTATATTTTTTGCATCCACTCTTTACAACCGGCTCCGGTAAATTTACAATGATGCTGTTTGCCGTTGCAGTCACATTCTCAAAATTATAAACTTTTTCGTCAGGTGTCAGACATCTCATTGGGGGATATGAAGGGGGTTGTGAAGATTTATCAAGAGCGTAAATTTTATGTATATAATATATATTTGAACCTATTATCTTTTTAACATATTCGTCTATATTTACGCTCTTGAGACTTGAGTATTTCTTTTTCGAAACGTACATATATTGAGTACGTTGACGGTCATATGCTAAAATGTAAATGTTTGTTTTGTCAATCGTCATAGATTGGAAACTGATGTCATCACTTATGTTTTGTGCGAGTAAAATCGTATTGCACATAGAAAAGTTAGTGTTTGTGACAATTATCCTAAAACTATTCATATAGTAAAGTAAGGGCTTCTCATTATTCTTGTTATCAATTATCATATCATGAAAAAGATCTTTATAATAAAATAGGCAAGAGGATTCATTTATCTGAACAATAGATTTGTTTTTGTTTTTTCCATCGAGATGATATTTCATCATATTATATTCTCGAGTCTCCAAACTGATGTATGATATGCAATATAAAATTCTAAAAAATATATACTTATTTTACTCATTATAAAACATTATTTTAACAAAAACAGAAACTTGTATGTAATAGAAAATTCGAAATTCTTATAATTATATAATAACTTATTGAGTGTACAAATTAGGCAGAAAAACTAACTTATAATAACTTATTATTTTTTTACTTATGATCTTAATTATAAAACCACGTAAAATTATAGAAAAGTTACAAATTTGCATAAATCTTTAATGGAAAATTATTTTTTGAAAATAATGATATACTTTAGTAAACGTACCCCATAGATGGTGATACATTTAAATAGTAAATAGAATAAGTTGATTTGAAAATCTTATCAAATTTAATTATGCCATTTTCCCACATTGTCAAATCGAATTTTGCAATGTAAAAATCTAAGTTGAAATAGGTCAAATATAGATTTCTTGCTACCCAGTCAATGCAGAGATCATACATATAATGACCAAAGTTAGCTATTTCTGTGATTTTATTATTTTCAGTAATCTTCAATGTCATTAGGTCTGTTCGGGATATCCAATAAATTCTATATTCTTGGGCCCAGTAAGCGACATCTTGTATGGGCATTCGAATGAGAATCTTATATGTATTTGAATCTAAGTCCAATATGTCGATACCATTTTTCGTTACTAATAATAATTTAGGTATTGGATTTTCATGCGTAGTCGATACATTGATTAAATCCGAGTAAGGACCAGCAATAACTTCAGTATGTGCACGTACTCGGAAATAATATGTCGTATTAGGTTTAAGATTGTGCACCGTGTGCTCCAATGTTGTAATTGTGATATTTTTATCGTCGCAGATTTGAATCTTTTTTAAATCCTCCATAACAAAACATTGCACTGTGTACCTTTGTATTTCATCGGTAAATTCAGATTGGTTCCATCTGTAAAAAAAAATAAAATTTTAGTCATTTTATATTTAACAAAATTATAACAGAATTAACATTTTGATATAGATATGTCGTTGAATTTAAGAAAAAGAGAAAAAAATGAAAGAATACAAACTGAAAATTTAGATTTTTTTACCTCAATGTCACAAAAATGTCGTTTACTATTCCTGTGAATTGATTGTCGAATTGTACAAATGCTCTGAGAGAAGTTGGCTTGCTGAAATTGCTTTCTATAGATTTTAAGATCGTACATGTTAACATAATTATATGTAAGATTAAATGGATTATCTCAGTAAATCAGAAAGAACAATTTAATGTGAAAATATCCTGATAGAAATTGCCTTGCCGGCGCCATAACACTTGTCAGCGCAATGGAAGTTTGCCACGTCACAGTCTTATTTTCAAAAATTGAAAATGTCCACACTAGAACCATGATCGCGGCCGATATATAAATGGCGTAATATTATTATAAAATTAAACAGGCGCAGATTTGAATTTGACTGGGCTTCTGATGCGGCCCATACTTGCGCCACGTCAGATGCTCAGACATCTTTTCGCTTTATCAAAAAAGATAACATTAAAAGAACACAATATGCGACAAGTGTTTCTTGCCGCAATGCGGCGACACCAGACTTAACCAAACTCGTATTCAATTTTTTATGAAGTGTATATAAAGGACTGGTACACACATGAGATCTAAAGTATATTTTTTTTTGTGAGTAGTATCGCCAAAAAAAGGTCGCTACTTTCACGTACACGATCAGAGAGCCATTGCTCTCTGATTGTGTGCGCGTAAACCACGTTTTCTTCTTAACATCATTTTATCAATTTAATTTAGTTTAATTTCTGACAAACTGAATTTAAAAAAAAATATTTAAATAATGTGGATTTTTGTGGGATTCCAAATTTTTTTCCTTGTTAGATTTCAGAATTTTTTTTCCAGTTTTAGTAATATTTTTAGGCGACATGGTGCTGTATGGGAAGTTTTTTATGAATAGTCAAATAGTTCAGTAGTATTTTTTCGTAAAACAATATTATGCTATACTACAGTAATTCCGCATATGTTCTATGACAATATCTTACTAGGACTATGTTAATGCCATGTTAGTACAACTCAAAATTCAATTCAACGTGGCACCAGCGGGCAAAACGTGACGATTTCGTGGATGGCTCTTACCAGCGTGTTATGCCGCTCCTTAAGTGGCAGTGTGGCACGCTGGCCAGTGACATACAAACGCTCTATCAAAATTTCTACCAGGGTAAAGAAAAGAGAAAAAATAAATGAAAAAGCAAACTACAAAATATGGAAATTAACACAATATTGACCTTAAAAAAATAATATAAGAATTTTTTTCATTTAAGATTTGGAAAAGTAATCGTTAATTCGTGCCAAAAACGAATAAATAACTTTGAAGTACTTTTCGAAAAATTCCTGTAACTTAAGAAATCAAAAGTATAATATTTGCGATTGCTTTAAAACCAATTAGCAAATAAATAAAATTGACTTTGCCTTAAATCATGACAATTTTTATGTAGAATGTTATGTTTGTATTATGCCTTTTTATTTCCTTTTTCGACAAAATAGAATTTATATTTTTTTCACGACTAAAAGATATTTTTAGATTTGATTTCCACTCTTTCTTAAATTTAAATTATATTTACACTTTTTCGTCATAGATTATATTATTAATGTTTGATGCATTTTTTTGTAACTTACCGATAGATTCTGGAATTGTAGAAATATTTGCAAGTGTAACTTCATCAACTTCTCGCTCATTTCTCACAGTACTATCAGAATGACTCCGTTCAGATTTGAAATTTATTATATGATGATTATTTTTCTCGGACATTGAAATATTCTTCATGAAGTGCAACATACGAAAAGAATTATAAAATGAATATCATTGAAGCGATTGTTTCTGGTGCTTTTAATGATAAATTATATAAATTATAAAATTAAAAAAAGAAAAGAAAAATTACCATTTGTTTTTTGTTTTCTTAATAATACCGATTTGATATAAATCATTTCTAAATGATATATATTCAATGCGATGTAGTTTTATTCATATTGTAAACTGTATTTTTTATTTTTTATTTAAAACATCTTGTATATCAAACACTCATCATATCAAAAAGAAAATCAACCAATATAGGTTAACAACAGTCAATGACGATTCATAATAGCTTTTAGCAAGTAATAGAAGCGAAAGTGTAGTTCTTTGCAATTATTAAATCAATTTTGTCTAACGATTTGATTCTTTTTTATGATAGGTTAGTTAACTTTTCTCAATTTTACCATAACTTAAATTTCTTTTCAAAAATTTGCCAATATTACTAAAGTTATATTAATGTTTGTACTTCAAGCATAAAAAGGTTACAAATATTGTTTCTTTACAGTTATTAAATATTAGTCATAGAAATTATATATATTCTTTTATTTATATTCTTGTCAAGTTTTTTCTCGTATGTCGTATATTTATATTTTTAACAATCAAATCCTGAAAATGATAATATAAACCGATAGTACAAATTGATAAGAATATGTGCATATAATTGTATGTGAATGGATATATGTACAATGAAAATTAATATAAATTCTAGCAATTGTTATTGAATATATTGTCGATCGAAATATTAGCGTTAATAGATACAATTTAAAGAATGTTTGATGAACGATTTTTTTATTAGACAGATTTTCTATCTCAATATTTAGCTCTGTTTCGTTATATAATTACCCTTAACACAAAGAAGTGATGCTAACTTTTTAAATTAATTTCTTAAAATAAACTCTACTTAAATCTTACTATATATCAATAAATATTATAAATATTATAAATATCTAGAAAGATAAAGAAATTTTAGAAATTGAAGAAAAATAACATAAAAATCTATTGAAGTATCATCGTATGTATATATTAATGTAGCGGACATGTATATATTAATATAGTAGAAACTCATTAAATTTAAAAATTGTTATTTTTGGAAATAATTTTATTATATATAATTATATATATGTATATATATACATATATATATATATATATATATATATATATATATCTAGAGACAGAAGGAGAAAGAGAGAAAATACATAATCAAATTTTAAAATATTGTTCTAATTAAATTTAATATACTATATAACATCCATTTGTAAACAAAATTTCGAAACTTTATCCATCTATTTTTTACATCATCATATATATTTTTTACTTTTATATTGAATTGTTTTATTTTATCTTATCTTATTATATAGAATATAGAATATATAGAATATATAATTTATTCATTCATTTTTAGTCACACTACTAACTGCAATAACATTCAATTATTTCTTAATCAAGCGAAAAATATCTCTTACCTGCGTGAAATTTAAATCCGGATACATGGAAATACTTTCTTCCTGAAGGATGTTTGAAGTGTTATCATCCTTCGGCATGATAGTTGCCTTTGTCAATATTAAACCTCTCAATAAAACACATAAAATTGTTCCAAACATAATTTGCATTTTTGGTAAACGTTTGCACTCAATTGGTTTCCGTTCAACCCTCAATTAATTGTTTTCTCACCTTACTAATTCTGATGTGTTAATCGAATTGATATTAATTCACATAAATACATATATTTTCGATAAATTCTTTAAAAGTCAGTTTTAACGCAAGTTATTATCTTCTAATATTATGTTTTTAGATTTCTCTTTATGATCACGATCATAGTATATATCTTAAGATTAAATGAAAGAATTCTTAGTAAGTAAATAACTTCTATGGTACATATTCATTGTATCGCGAATACAGGAATATAATTATTATTAGCTTTCCTTCTTTATTAATAGAAAAGCAGGCAATAAAAAGATAACCACAATCAAATTACAAACGATCTAAGAAGTTATAGAATTATAGATCTTGTAACATTTTCAGCCATATTCAAGCACACGCAGCGTGTAATCGAATTTACTTCAATATTTGCTATATCTGTTATTAAATATGTAATTATGACAATTCGTTCGTACGATTGTGTTACTACGTGCTATGTTTTTTAAAGTCCACTATTCATACACAATTACACGGTTTCTCTAATCTTTATATAATACTGTTTGAATCAAGCGATAAATAACCGTGGCGGCGTTTAGCTAGCGATCACAGTAGTAACTGACTTCGAATGGTCAATCCGATCTGTAACATTTTATTAGCTCCATTCCGTTTGTAATTTATTTTTTTCCGCGAAGATACTCGTTATTTCAAAAGAAATTTAAATCCTTAAGAATTGTTTGTCAAAAAATTTATATACCTATATATAAGACAAATTTATATATATATATATATATATATATATATATATATAACAAAAATAATTTTATATATAAATAAATATATTTATATACATATGACTGTTTAATAAATTTTATTAATCTTTATCTTATTAGCTTCATATATTAATTTATTTTTGCGTAACCTTCTCTTTGGCATAAGAAAAACATTTATTATATAAAAAAATATTCTGATTATAAGAAAAATAATAATGGACTTAAAAAAGTGATTTACACGTTTTCTGTTTACATAATGAATTTTGAATCATGTGATACGTAACACGGCAGCGTTTTTATGCTAATATAAATAAATGTACAATAAATATACAATAACACGTAAATTGTATAAATAACAAAAATAAATAAAATAATTCATTCTACGAGCTTTATTATTATTATTATCGTTATTTATACTAAATAATCTTATATAATAACTTATATACAACTTATATACAACTTTATAATATATTATATAATATATATTATATATTATATATTATGTATTATATATTATATAACTTTATAATATTATAATATATTATAACAACTTATAGTATTAATTATTTTATTATTTAAATTATACTACTGTAATTTTATATATGACAACCTTTATAATGCACTAGTGTGCATTAGTGCATAAAACTAAATTTTCTCCTTTTCTCGCTATAAATCAATTGCTTTATTTCCAAAATATTGAGATAAACACGTTAATCACATTTTGTTAAAGAATATTGAAAATAATTATGTGATATTAACCGGTCTCCTCTTGTGACTCATTCAGTCCATTCATATATTAAATGATACACTTTTATTTCCAAAAATGTTTTTGTATTATTAAAGAGACATTCTGCATAAGAATATTTTTAATAATTTCAACTAGTGTTTATATAATGTTTTCTTTAAATGGATGCACAATAATATATATATTTTCACAAATATTTATAAATTTATAAAAATTTATTCTCTTTAGAAATAATATCAGTACGTACAAAAATTTATATATATAATTTGAAACAGGAAAGAGCTCCAAAACATAATGTAAAAAAGACTTGAAAGAAAATTACAATTATATGTGTTAATATTTATGAATTTACAGAATAGTTAACTATATATTTACAGAATACTAGTTAATACATTAAAGCGCAAATCTTACATAAGATACAAAAATATGCATTTCGAATGTTTAATGAAATATTAAACAAACATTCCAATATTACTAACTGTTTACAATTTATTCCTCTATAATTTATTTATATCAGTTTGATAATCTATTGGATTCAATAAATCATCTTTTCAATGTCACTTCTAATATAATATTTTCGAGAAAAAATTTGAAGTTTGATTTAATTTTCGCTGTATTGCAACAACAGATTATTAAAATCAATGGATAGTTAATTCTTTAACTACTATCAATTGTTGTCGTCAATAGACAGCAAAACATTTTATAAAACACAGCTGACGTCAATAAATACTTTATGATGTGATTCCGAGATCGCCTATTTCAATTTCAATTTCAATGATTCTGTTTATGTGATGTTATCTCTGGTCTGAAATTATTTATTTTATTCATTCAATAATTCATTTTATTTATTTATATTACGAATCTCTCTCTCTCTCTCTCTCTCTCTTTTCCTCTCTCTCTCTCTCTCATTCTAAATTATCTAAACTGTTTAAATTTTTAAATTACATTAGTATAATATATAAAATATTCTGGATTTTATTTTAATATACTTAAAATATCTATAAAATGTTCTCGTATTAATTACTTTTATAGAGATAGTAATATTTTATAAATTGCTTCACAATAATATATTATTTAGATATTTTATGCATAAAGTTCCATGATGAATTATTTAATAAATAATCAATTTTAATAAATAAATTAAAATACTTCTATAATTTAATATTCCGCGTTAGTGTATATTTTATAATATGAAAAATATCTCTGCAACGAATTATCGATAATACGATGTTCGACTTTGGCAATATAAAATGTAAACAGTAACGCGCTATGCTAGGGCTTCGTTATCATTCGCATGGTGACACTCCAGTAATAAAGTAGTGGTGCGAAACGCCTCGTATATTGTAATTTAAACACGACTACGATTAGTATCAAAACATAATTTGCTATAATTATTAATAATTAAAAATTAATTAACTTCTGATAAACGACATAAAAATGTTTCGCAACGATAAATCTTTATCGAATCGCAATCATTCATTACTACGAATAAAAATTGAAATAGGAAATACATAAAAGGGAATAAGAGAATTAATTATGTTATGATCTTTCGACCATTAATGCTTATAATATTTCTTTAAAAATATTATAATTAAATATTAAATTAATATTTCGACCAATGTTTAAATTTTCTTAATCGGCAATCCTTGTTAATTATACAATAGTTATATATCACGATATATATATATATTAATTTAATCTTTTAATCTTACGATACATTAATATGTTGGATATATAAGATACATTAACATGTTAAAATATTTCCACAATGAATTATTCTAATATCCTTCCTTGGCGACATAAACAGTGAGCTGATGATTTTGTTTTACGGTCTTGTTATGTAAATTTAAATTTGTATACTTTATTACTAGATAAATTCCAAATTATATATCAAGAGACGCGGTAGCGTCGTGACGCCAAGTATATAAAAAACAAGTCCAAGCATTGAGTTCCAAGCATTGAGTTGAGAGTCACTGCTCTCGACGCGGTGCTACCAAGTACCTTATCCAGAATTTCGCGTTAAGTAAACTTTCGGTGAAGATATTTAATAAACTAAAGCCGTAATCAAAAATTTAACGACACTTTTATTATAAAATGTAAATATATGCTTTCGATTGCGACCTGTTTGAACAAAATCAGTGCAGTCAATCCTGAAAAATGATGATCGAATATCAGAATTGTGACATTTTTTTTCGTTTTCCTTCATTTCCAGTGTCTCACGTACATATGCTCGCACGCACACACGCAAAGCGAATTTGTCCCTCAAGCGGCGTTCACATCGCTGCGTATACGATTATTGCTTCGATATGTACAATGCTTTAAGTGACAAAATCATATGTGTGCATGTGTGCACATACGTGTGATATGTATATGTATGTGTACGTACGTATGAAAGATAAATTTATTAAAGTATAGTGCAGAATAGTGTAACAAGGAATAGAAGTGACACATTAAGGTTATTTGTTTAAAAAGACAGAAGAGAAGTGATATATTAAAAGTTATTATCAAGCGACGCTGAGTGCATTGATTAGTAAAAACAGGTTTGTGACACTTAACGACCGCCAAGTGGACTGTGATTGTGAAATTTTTCTCATTTCTATTTAGATTAGACATAATATATTTTGACATATTATATTAATAAAGAGAATAGACAGTTATCATTTTATGGAATATATTTGTATAATTTATAATTATATATATATATATATGTGTGTGTGTGTGTGTGTGTGTGTGTGTATATATTTGTGTGTGTGTGTGTGTGGTGTGTGTAGAAATTTACATATTTGACTGCGCAATCATAATTATAGTTACACAGACATTTATTACATTTGCCTGCATATACATAAATATAATTACGCAGAAATATTCCCTACATATATAATTATTTATGAAAATAGAGATAGGTCGATATTGTGGGAGACGTGTGATGTGTGAGTGCTGAAGTTGTTAACTGTTTTGAGACGGAAGGAGCTGGTCAAGGTCAGTAAAAAGTACGGAGAAGCGAAAGCGATAGCCGAGAGTCGGGGAGGGGAGTGGCGAGTCGGTGAGAGTGTGGAGTGCGGAGGAAAGGAAAAGGTTGGAAGGTGAAATGAAAAAGTAAGGTTAAAATAACTGCGAGGCAGCTAAGGAAACTTTGAGGCGAGTACACAACAAAAGCGTGTACACAACACGAGGATCACAACCCTAAGACGGGCACACAAAGACAAACTAGACCTTAAAGCCCATTTGAAATCCTAACAGACTAGTGAATTAACGACGCATGGAACCGGCAGAGGGCAGTACGGAAGATTTGGACAGCACAATAATTGAGGTTGACAACAAGATAAAGAAGAGAGGCAGGCCAAAGGATATATCGAATAGGAGTAGGAGTAGCTCGGTAACGAGCAGAGATAGCAGCACTGGTAGAAGTGGAAACGAAAGCGGAAGTGAGGGAAATAATCGAATAACAACTTGGCTTAAGAAGAAAATCTCGGAGGAAAAAAAGAAGAAAAGGAAAGCGGAAAGTCCTGAACACGGAGGAAAAGAACCAAAAAAGAAGAACGAAGAACAAATGGAAGAAAACATGAGTATGGGCAAACAGGAGGATATAACGTTTAAAATGTTTAAAAAAATAAAGGATAAATTAGATTCAAGAGACGAAGAGGATAGAGGGAGATGGAAAAGCTTGGAACAAAAACTAGAGAAAATAGAGGAAGATAACAAAATAATGAAAAAAATGATGAGAGATCTAGAAGCAGAGACAAACAAGAAACTAGAGAAAATGAGTAAAGAAATTGATGACATAAAAAGAGAGAGAGGGAAAAAGGAAAATATAAATGAAATCAAAGTAAGCAAACTGGAGGAAGCGGTAAAAAAAATGCAAAGTGAAATAAAAGAAAAATCTCACAGCAATAGGCGAGAATATGATAGTGGAAAAGACATAAAAGAGAATGAAAAAATGAAGAAAGAATTGGAATGGATTGTGGAGGAGGCAGAGAGAGAAAAAAGAAAGAAGAATGTAATAATCAAGGGATTAGAGATACAAGATAAGGAAGAACTAATAGGATGGCTCGCTCAAAAACTGGAAATAAAGGTAGAGATAAGGAAAATATGGAAAATAAGGAACGCAGAAAAAACTATAGGAATTCAACTGGTAAGCAAAGAGCAAAAGTTTGAAATAATGAAAAGAAAAAACAAGCTAAGAGGAGAAAAGGACAAAATCTATATAAATGATGACGCTACATGGAAGGAGAGACAAAGCAAAAGAGAGGTGATCAAAAAGAGAAGAGAACTGGAGCTGAATGGCACGAAGTGTGACATAGGACATAATAAGATTATCACGGATAAAGAGGTTTTCTACTGGAACGAGAAAGTAGAAAAGTGGTTTCGGAAAGGAAAGAGAGAAGCAAACATACAAAGAACTCAATAGAAAAAGAGAAAGAACATCAAGACCTGACAAAAAGAAAATAAGAGAGGAGGAAAAGAAAAACATAGAAATAATTTTCTGGAACGTTGCAGGTCTTACAAGTCTAGAAGAGGACGATTGGGAACAACTGAGAAAATCTGATCTAATAAACATTTCAGAAACATGGATCGAAAAAGAGGACAAAATAATGGATTATAAGATGAAAAACTACGAATATATACAAATAAAGGCAAGAAGAGAAAAAAAGAGAGGAAGACCAAAAGGAGGCTTGGCGATGGCGCACAGGAAAAATTTAATAGCAAAAAAGTTAAAAATGGAGAAAGTGACAGACGAAGTAATGAAAATGGAAATCGATACAGGAAATGAAGTCATAATAGTAATAAGTACTTATATGAGAGAAAACAGGAAGGAAAATTACGAGAAAATATCTGAGATTATAGAAGAAAACAAAGACAGATATATTATAATAGGAGGAGACTTCAATGCGAGGACAGCAGAAAAAGGAGGAAGAATTGAAGACGACACTGCCGAAGAAAGTAGAGCATCAGAGGACAAAGTAATAAATGAGGAGGGCAGAGTACTTATAAAATGGTTAGAAGAAAACGGCTTGTACAATACATAATAAATGGGAATGTCCAAGGAGAGGAAAAAGGCAGTATGACTTATATCGGAGCGGTAGGAAGATCAGTAATTGATTACGTGATTACAAATCGAAAAGGAGAGGAAAGGATAGAAGAAATGGAAGTGGTAGAAGGAGTAGCGTCAGACCATCTAATGATTAAAGTAAGCTTAAGAATTGGAATGGAAAGAGAAGAAGAAATGGAAAAAGAAAAAGAGATAATCAAATGGTCAGACAATGAGATAGAAGAATATATGGAAAGACTTAAAAAAATAGGAAGCGTATTCGAATGGAAGGACTTAAGAAGAAAAATAAGAAACTCAATTCCAATAAAAAAAATAAAGGTTAAAGAGAGACCAGATGAAAAAAGATGTTGGGACGAGGAATGCCACTTTGCCAAGAAGGAACTGAAGGATGCTAAGAGAGGATACAGAGAAGATGAGACCATACTAAAAAAGATCAGTACTTGGTCTACAGGAAAAAGTATAGAAACTTATTGGAAAAGAAGAAAACAAATTATAAAGAGAGAGAATGGATTGAAGCGAAGAATGATAAGTCAGGAAAGAAATTCTGGGAGATAATAAACAGACAAAGGAAAAGAAGAACGAAGATGAGTGACAAGATCAAAATAAACGAATGGAAAGAGCACTTTCAAGTCCAAATGGAGGGAACGGTAGAAAAAGAAGTTGTAGAAATAGACAGGATAGCAAATCAAGAAAATGAAATAAGTTTAAAGGAAGTGAGGGATGTGATCAAAAGGTTGAAGAAAAAGAAAGCAGCAGGAGAGGACAAAATACCAAATGAAGCATGGCTATATGGGGAGGAGGAGATAGTAGAAGAATTTCACAAGATAATAAACAAGATTTGGAACGGAGAGCAGAAACTACCAGAAGAATGGAAAATAGGCATAGTAACACCCATACATAAAAAAGGAGACATACATGACGTAAAGAACTATAGAGGAATAACGCTAATGGACACAGGATATAAAATCTATGCAGAGATAATCAGGAAGAGGTTGGAGAAGGAAATGGAAGAAAGGGAAATAATGGGAGAGACACAAACTGGATATAGAATAGGAAAAGGAACTTTAGAAGCTATATATATTGTGAAGACGGCCATGGAAGAGGAAACGAAGAAAGAAAAGGGAGAAATCTACCTATTCTTCGCAGATATGAAAGGAGCTTTTGATAAAATAAGAAGAGAAAAATTATGGGAACTAATGGAGAAAGATGAAATCAGTAGTAAATTGAGAGATAGAATAAAGGAGATATATAACGGAACGGCTTTTAAAATAAGGATAGATGAAAAATTATCAGAAGAAATAAACACGGAAAAAGGAGTGAGGCAGGGATGTCCGCTCAGTACAGCACTGTTTAACTTAGCTTTTGCAGATTTGGAAAGCACTATGAGAAGTGTACAGTTAGGAGGAATAATGGATAGGAAGGAAGAAGGTTTGGACAGTCTCGTATGCGGATGACGTGGTGTTGCTAGCAAACAACGAAGGAGGAATAAAAGAAATGATTAAAAAATTCAGAAAATACATACAGGACAGAGGATTGGAACTAAACATAGATAAATCTAAAATCATGAGAGGAAGAAAAGCAGGAGGAAGGAAGAGAAACATAACATTCACATGGGAAGGAAAAGATATCGAGGAGGTGAAGGAATTCAACTATCTAGGATACACTTTACAAAGAAACAACGGAAATGAAGCACATATAAAGAATATAAGGAAGAAAGCAATGGCCGTTCTAGGAAAAGTATGGAGTATAGGAGAAAGAAACTTCAAGGATAACTGGAAAAAAAGAATGTACTTGTTTGAAGTCTTGGTGGAGAGTATTATGATGTATGGCGTGGAGATATGGGGCTGGAAAGAGTATAAGGAAATTGAAGGTTTACAAGATAAATATATAAAATGGACACTAAAACTGGACAGAACGACACCTAGCCACATGCTTCACTTGGAAACAAAAAGAAATAAAATTGCAACCAAATCAGGAATAAGAGCGGTAAAATACGAGGAAAAAATAATGAAAAGCGAAGGAAATGAACTGATTAAAGAGTGCATTAGAGTAAAGAATAAATTTAGCACAGAAATGAGAATAAACAGGAAAAGAGAAACATGTGAAAGATGGAAAACCGCAAGGAAAAAATACCTTGAAGAAAAAGGATGGTCGATAGATTATTATGATCTTGAAATGAAAAATGGAAGTGGAATTTGGATTAGGTTGAAAGACATTGGTGAATGTATGGAAAGACAGATATGGAGTGAGAAGCTAGAAAGATCAAAATTTGCGAAGGAATATAAAAACTTAGTACCAGAAGCCATGGAAAAACCAAAATATCTAAGTAAAGAAAATAATCGGAAAGGAGCTTTGGAAATGGAAGCAAGATTTAGATTAGGCACTGAAACGAGGGCAAACAAGTATTGGGAAGCGGAGGAGAATAGAAGGTGCAGACTATGCGGAAAAGAAGAAGAGACGCTTCAACATGTTTTCGAAACATGCGATATGACTGGAGAAAAACATGAAAGTTGGAGGCAACAGATAAATGGGGCACGAGCTTTGACAAGAATGTTGAGTATAGCAAGGAGGAGGAACAGAGAGGAGGAAGAATTTACATATCAGGTGGGAGAGAGGATGAGGAGAGGCTGAATGGGGAAACAAATGTTGTACAAGGAACCTTATGTGGCGCACGCACCAACACAAATACTTATGGAACAAGTGTATATAAAATGTATATAACTCAAATGTTAATAAACGCAATTATTATTATTATTATTATTATTATATAATTATTTATTATATATATATATATATATATATATATATATATATATATAATTAAACATGTAGGGAATATTTCTGCGTAACTATATTTGTGTCTACGAAAGCAAATGTAATAAATGTCTATGTAACTATAATTATGGTTGCGCAGTCAATATGTAAATTTCTACACACACACACACGCGCGCGCGCGCGCGTGGTGTGTGTGTGTTTGTGTGTATATATATATATATATATATATATATATATATATATATTGCGACGTTTATTTCAATTAAATTCAAATGAATCGCGACACTCCCCGAGATGTTGGATGGGAGCGTGCGCGGGGGAGCGAAAACGCCGTCAAAAAAAAAATAACGAAATTGATATACTCGCGTTCTGAGAAACAGGGATGGAGGACGCTCTCGCGCGAGCCGCAGCGGAGCGAAGACCGTATCGATATATCAAAAAGTTGGGCGCCAGATGCGGTCTTTCACGCATCAGTTTTCGCGAAAAGCCGAAAAACGTTAAAAGCGATATCCTGCTTCGCCACGGGCCGACTAGCTTGCCTAACGGTAGAGGGGAGGGGTTGTTAGAGAAAGTTAATTGATTATGCGAGTCTTCACGGAACTAACAGACGACAGACAAAACGACAATCGACAATTAAGCGAGACGAACACTTAAATAAATTACGCGAATTGAACAAAGAAAGATAACAAGTTTATTACTAGAAAAATAAAGTAATCATACGAGTGATCAATAATAGATTAATAATAAGAAATGGATCAATTTTGAACATTAAATTAGCAATCAATAAGAAGCGATAATTCCGAGATTAATAATTCCTTACCGAGACATTGATTCGCTATTAATTCCACTAGAAACGAGAACGGATCATACAAATCAAGTTCAAACGACGGTTCACAATAAATTCGAACGACATACGAAAGCGAAAAATACAATACAATTAATCCTGGCACGAAAAATGCGACGGTATTCTTAGCAAATATCTGCTCGCAATCGATAACGAAAACGAGAGCGCTAAGACAATCCGGTTGTTTACCCGAGCCCGTTTTTATGGCCGGAATTCGCTGAACTGAGCGAGACTTTACGGAATACAAAGGATTTTCGGCACGAAAATACTCGCGGATAATACTCAAACGAGATCGTAATTTCAGCAGCCCGATCGACAACTTATCGCTACAGACTTTTCCCCGCAATTTCCTAGTACGCGAAACAAAATGACAACTTAATAGCTCGACAGTCCAATGAACCAGAGATCGAAAATAATTAATACTTTTGCGAAGACGGATCTTGTATGCGACAGGCGAACGACATTTTCGATATTCGATGGCCGACGGCGGCCGGAGATTTTCTCTGCCGGCGTTTTGCCTCTTTCATCCGCGCAAGCAGCTCAGATTGCACCCTCGATCGTACTTTGGCGATTATTTCGCACCACGACAAATTCGACAGATACAAATTATTCTTTATTACGCTCTATCCGACGGCGTAATAAGCGCGACGAAGACGCAGATATTCTCTTAGCCTTTACTACGCTCTATTCGGCGGCGTAATAAGCGCGACGAAGACGTAAATATTTTAACGCTCACACT